TTTGCTTGTGCTTTTTGTAAAACTTGCTGATAGAGGGTATTGAATTTATGTAAGCCCTCGATATCTGCATAAATAATAAGTTAATAAACGAAACGTGTGTGCATCGCTCACGTGTTCAATAAAAAGTGTTTGCACCTGGTGAGACGCTAAATAGTATGCTTTAAGTTCACATCTAAGTATGTATGTATGTATGTAAATTGCAATGCTCGTAAAATGTCAAAATCTCAGCATTGTATCCGTACCTGTTTTTACTTTTCGTCACCACTGTTGATATTGTTTTACAAATAGGTATATCTGTATATTGTTTTCACCTTTTTCACAAATAATTCGTTGACATTTCAGTCGAAATCGGTAGATCATTCACTTGACAAAACTTGTAAACATGTAAAAGCATGCACTTCGTCGCTTATGCATATGCAAGCAATCGAAAGTGTGTAGGTGTGCGAAATTCGAGTGATAAACCTGCACATATGTATGTATGCACCTGCACTCACGAAAGTGAACAACCTTAGTTCACCGTTCACCATTTAGCAAGCTCATTATCGCTTTGTATTCTTAACGTCTTATCAACGGCGGAGGAGTCATTTTGGTTTTACGCTCAGTCATTGTCATCGTTATTAATTTTATTTCAATTTACATTCCAAGATAATTTCCCAGTGGAAAAATGGCGAATGCATTAGCTTCCTCCATCAAGAAAAGACTAACGACACCGCTTGTACGAAAAGATGCATTGCAATGTAGGCGAGCGGGTATTGTATAGCCGAAGCTTTTGAGCCACAACATTCGAGTTAAACGAATTGTTGCATTCCACAGCGGTCGTGGATATGGTGTGTCGTTTTGAAGTTTGAATTTTTTGCACTTGTATCTCAACAGCATTTCCGGCTGGGTACTGCCAAAGCGAAGAACAGCTGATTTCGTAATACATATCACACATTCAATGGAAAGCGCCTAAAAGCACATCCATGGTTGACTCTGATTTTCTTTCAAAATTTGCAAAGCAAAGCAGCATTAGGTGATGTTTTCACGCACAATTGGTATTATGTGATTCGTGCAGTATGCAGTATACTGCTAGACTGCATTGTATTCTTTGCAAGATACATTCGTTATTCGATTTTCTATTATAAGAAGCACCGAATTATGAAAATTTAAATGTATTTAGAACATCACTCAATTGAATTTTCACTTTGATCGAATCACTTTGGAGAGGTGCCGGAAAGGTCTTAATTATGCTATATTTTAGGAACAAAGCTACATATATGGGATTGTTTTCATAAAACCATGGAGCTAAATACCCAAATCCCTAAGTGGACCCGAAAATCACGACATAGTTTCGAGAATCCCGAAGTAGCCCAGAAAATTACGAAATAGTTTCGAGAACCCCGAAAAAGTCCCGAAAAGCCCTAAGTAGTCCTGAAAATCACGAAATGGTCCCGAGATTACCGAAAACCCTGAGATAACGGGTGATTTTTTAAGAGCTTGATAACTTTTTTTTAAAAAAAAACGCATAAAATTTGCAAAATCTCATCGGTTCTTTATTTGAAACGTTAGATTGGTCCATGACATTTACTTTTTGAAGATAATTTCATTTAAATGTTGACCGCGGCTGCGTCTTAGGTGGTCCATTCGGAAAGTCCAATTTTGGGCAACTTTTTCGAGCATTTCGGCCGGAATAGCCCGAATTTCTTCGGAAATGTTGTCTTCCAAAGCTGGAATAGTTGCTGGCTTATTTCTGTAGACTTTAGACTTGACGTAGCCCCACAAAAAATAGTCTAAAGGCGTCAAATCGCATGATCTTGGTGGCCAACTTACCGGTCCATTTCTTGAGATGAATTGTTCTCCGAAGTTTTCCCTCAAAATGGCCATAGAATCGCGAGCTGTGTGGCATGTAGCGCCATCTTGTTGAAACCACATGTCAACCAAGTTCAGTTCTTCCATTTTTGGCAACAAAAAGTTTGTTAGCATCGAACGATAGCGATCGCCATTCACCGTAACGTTGCGTCCAACAGCATCTTTGAAAAAATACGGTCCAATGATTCCACCAGCGTACAAACCACACCAAACAGTGCATTTTTCGGGATGCATGGGCAGTTCTTGAACGGCTTCTGGTTGCTCTTCACTCCAAATGCGGCAATTTTGCTTATTTACGAAGCCATTCAACCAGAAATGAGCCTCATCGCTGAACAAAATTTGTGCGCGAAACACATTTCGAACCGAACACTGATTTTGGTAATAAAATTCAATGATTTGCAAGCGTTGCTCGTTAGTAAGTCTATTCATGATGAAATTTCAAAGCATACTGAGCATCTTTCTCTTTGACACCATGTCTGAAATCCCACGTGATCTGTCAAATACTAATGCATGAAAATCCTAACCTCAAAAAAATCTCCCGTTAGTTCCGAAATATCCGAATAGTCTTTCAAATCTCGAGATAGTCTAGTGAATCCTGCAATAGTCTCGAAAATTTGTATTGTACTGTATCCAGTATTTAGAGCAGTCAAAGTCCCTAAATACTTTTGTATGCGGTAGTTAGTGAAACCAAAGTCTCTAACTGCTTTTAAACTTAGTATTTTGTGCCGTGGGAATAAGTTAATACTACGATACTTACATCCAAAATACTACATCGTAGATACAATTTGACCCATCGCTGCTAGCTACATACAGTGGTTCAAACAAGTGACCACGAGTTGATTTTTTTATTTTATTCGTAATGTTTTTCTATCTATTTGTTTATTTTTCTATAAAAATATCGTCCAAGCTTTAACCAAAACTATAAAAATCACAGTTTCAAACTTTAAGCAAAATTAATAAAAATTCAACAAATTTTCATGAAAATTTCAACTTTTTAAAATGAATCTTTAGAACATTTTTGGGCCCTATACAGTTTTGGTCTAAGGAAGTGCAAGTTTCTACCGGCTAAAAAATCGCGGTGATTTTTGAGAATTTTTTCTTTTTTTTCTTTGTTTGGAGCTGCTTTTTCATTTTTTTTTTTATATAACATGTCCAATTCACAAAAACTGGCGTTGATGTTTTGTTGCGCAGTCTGCCGCATTTTATTTCATAAGTAGTTCATGCTTATATGGAAAAAAGTGTAAAAATGCGTCACCAAGAAAAAAATTCTCAAAAATAAACCGGATTTGTAACCATTTGAAACTTGCACTTTGTATGGGCTATAAAACTGTATGCCCAAAAATTTTCAAAAGATTCAAATTTTTACGGTGAAGTTTTGATGAAAATTTGTTGAATTGACTTAAATTTTAAGTTTCAAACTGTGACAATATTTTTATAGAAATCTCACAAAAAATTTACCTCGAAAAACATTATGAATATTATAAAAAATCCAGACGTTATAATCACTGTCTGTATACACAAAAGCCATGGATGGTTTCCATCCCAAAAGCAGGAAAGAGTGATTTAACCCGCCGCAAAACATTTTAGAAACATCTCTTTCCATTTTCCTCCTTTTTAGGCTACCGTAGTATTCCCTTTTTTTTCAAAAACTGTAAATTTCCGGAAAACTATATTTTCGATAAAAAAAAACCTATAACCTTAAAAAACGGAAAAAGTTACATGAAATAAAATAACATAAACCGTTTAAACTATGCTTAACTAAACAAAAGTAGACTTTATAAATTCGAGGATTTTAATAAAATTTTGTTTGAATGAAATTCAGTTTCATTATTTTTCTATGCAAGTGTCATGCAAATGCGGAGAAAGTGCTTCAAACTTCTGGAATACCGCTTTTCGAGAGAGACTTAGGGAAAACTCCATTACAGGAACCAGTAAGATTAGTCAGAAAATCTAGATGATTTACACAGGACAGGTCTGGGGAAATCCTTTGCTGGGGATATTGCGCTGACAGATTTCGATCGAGCTTAACTATAGGTGCCATTCTAACCTAGCATAACTTCGGCTACGTCATTCACAGAACTATTCCATTAAAAAAAAATATATACATATATCTCTATTTTTGTAGGCGACTTTTGCCCGTCCATCATCTACAGTACCTTCAGCGCAGATACCTTGGGACGGTCCTCAAAACAATAATCATCATCGGACAGCCCCAGGATAATTTACACAAAAAATCATTGCGTACAATACCTTTTCTTGTAGCCGTTCATCGGTCTAAGTCCGCTACGGTTATTGATGATTACTGCGCGGTTTCTTTTACGGAAAGAAATCTGTCTTAAAGTTCCTGTAAATAGACGTCCAGTTTACTAATGCATAAAGGTCCTTAACCTTAGCTTACAGTCTGGATCAATGAAGGCATGACTAATATTATTTAAGACCCATAGTGGCCAGAGACCTTGCAGTAATCCTTTCACTGAAAAGAAAGGTTTTAAGGTAAGGTGCACAAAAAAACCAATGCATTGAGGTAGTATTTCCCCCATACTCCCCTTGTTGGCCTGTTTTCTGTCAAAAGAAAAAGAAAGAGTTTTCGAACCGTGATATGAACAGTACGAAATAACATTTGGTGTGCTACCAACCCTAAAGTGGCATTTGCATATTTAATCTAAGCTCTGATGATGAAAACTCCCATATTACGTAAAGGAAAAACGTCATAAAGTCTACACACGCGACCGCGATTTAATTGGCACAGGCATCCGCCTCACCACTGCCATTCCATTTTCTCTAGAAGCGAATTGATTCAAGCTTTTAAAGCTTGACACTTTTTTTTAGCTTTTTAATAAAATAATAGGTCAACAAAATAGCTGCACTTCAGTTATGTAGGCAAAAACTTAGCCATCTGTTTATTTAAGGTAGCCTTTTTAAGCTACTCAACTGATAAGAGTGATCAAATGGGATACATGTAATTTGTAAAGATTAAATAAAGATATATAAAGCAATCTTAAACATGATTTTGGAGGTGTTCACACAGTGATAAAAATACAGCACGTTGCTAAGATAGTTTTATCATTTTATTTATGATTATTCATAATCATCGCAAGAGCTAAAAAAAAAGTATTCATACCAAACAAGATTTTCCGCTCACCAAATAATTTACAGCCAAAATACGAACGGTGTGAACACGCCTATCAATTATTTTGCAAGTAGCCACCACTTTATCAAGTGAAGCTATAAATTGCCGAAAACTCCCAAAAATATATCAGTTTTCGATTAGCATTACAAACGCGCAGTCCCGTAAATTTAAACTTAAATTTGTTATGATTTTATTGCTATTAATAATAACGGCATTTGCACTCGCGCTTCTCTATATAAAATGGACTTACACTTATTGGCAACGCAAAGGCTTCCCTTATTACGCGCCCAAAATCCCCTTTGCCGTGTTAGATGGCGTGCGGAAGCGTGAAGTTTCATTGGGCATGGCCGTTTATGATGTTTATCGCACCACGAAGGACAAAGTAGTTGGTATTTACCTAATGACACGACCGGCTTTGCTTGTGCGCGATGCTCAATTGGCGAGAGATATTTTAGCGAAGGATTTCGAAAGCTTTCACGATCGTGGCATACACGTAGACGATGAAAAAGATCCACAATCGAGAGGTGGAATTTTTTTTCTCAAAGGTCAGGATTGGAAAAATTTAAGGGGTAAACTGGCAGCCTCATTCACCTCAGGCAAGTTGAAAGGCATGTTCGGCATAGTGGAAAATGTGGCAGATAAAATGGTAAACTATTTGAATGAACAGCTGGCGGAAAGCGATGTAAAAGAGTTCGAGATGAAGCATGTAATGGGGACGTGAGTACAAGTGCTTGAAGTGGATGCTTTTTTCATATTTCATATCGACCAAAATAGATTTGTATGTATAAGTATGTATGTTTTGTCTTCTATGATCGAAATCAAGTCAGAAATGTTCGATCGAGTTAAGCAAAAAATTATCATAATTAGCACAAACGGCGTGTTAAAAGATTCTGTACATACAAGAAAAAAAATAAATAATAATAATAAAATCTCTTTTTAGCTATGCCATCGACGTAATTGCCTCGTTGTTTTTTGGTTTGGAAATAAACAGTTTTCTTGAGCCAAATAATGAGATTCTTAACGTTAGCCGGAAAGTCAATGAGCCAACTTTTGGGAGTGTGGTGCGCGGGACGTGTCAATTTTTGTATCCTAGGTAAGCTCATCTTTTCAAAGTTTCTTTCTTTTTATCTGTTGGGCTTCTTTGTTTTATATTTAATTTTTTTTCCTAATTTTATTTTTTATGTATGTATATTTTTTATAGTTTTTTATTGTTATTAATACTTTATTTTTGATTGGTTTACTTCCCTAATAGTTTAATTTAATTTAAATTTAAATTTTAAATTTAATTTTTTTTGTTACACTTTTTTATTCCTCTATTTCATATATTTTTTCCTTTTATCGTTATCTTAGCTTGTACTTAAGTTTTTATATGGCTAATTTTTTATTTTTTTGTTTTATTTTTTATGTATTAAAAATTTCATCTATTTTTTTGTTTATTCAAAGTTGTATTATATTTTTAATTTACTCAAAATTTAATTTTTTTCTTATGTTACGTGTTTTTCTTTTTTTTATTCTTTGATTTTTTATTTATTCCTATTTGTTATTTTATTTTAATTTTATATTTCTTAATATTTGTTTCCTATTTTTTATTTTGATGAATTTTTTTCGGTTTTCTACAAAGTTTCAAACTTGGGTTTATGTACATATGTATATGGGTTTTGTGAGGGAATTTTATTTGAAAAAAATCTTACAGATTGATAAATGCATAAACACAAGTGATAAAGAATATAATTTTGAATTTGGAGTAAAATGATATGTCGCCCCGCATGCTTATTTCTTATATAATTTTATATTTTTACTTTTTTATATAATTTTATTTTACATATTTTTATTTTTTTACAACTTAGTATTTTATTTTTTTATACAAACTAATTTATTTTAATTTTTTAAACAAATTTTTATTTTTTTTTTCATACATATTAATTTTTTATTTATTTTGTATACAACTTCATTTTTTATATAATTTGATTTTTTCATATTTTATATACATACATATGTATGCATATCATTTATTTATTTTTCATTTTATTTTATGTTATTTTTTATTTTATTATATTTTTTATTTTATTCTACTTTTTTATTTTATTCCATTTTTTATTTTCTTAAATTTTTTATTTTATAAAATTTTTTATTTTGGTTTATTTTTTATTTTGTTCTATTTTTAATTTATGTTGTTTTATTTTTTGTTTTAAATTATTTTATTTTTGCTTTAAATTATCTTATTTTTTGCTTTAAATTATCTTATTTTTTGGTTTAAATTATCTTATTTTTTGTTTTAAATAATTTTGTTTTTCACTTTAAATTAGTTTGTTTTTGCTTAAATTTCTTATTTTGTTTAAAGTTATTTTATTATTTGTTTAAAATTATTTTATTTTATAGTATGTATATACTTTTATTTCTTTACTTGAACTTATTATTTTATTTTGTTTAATTTGGTTTTATTTTATTTTGTTTTAATTTTTTAAATCTTTATTTTTCCTTTTCCTAATTTATTTTCTTTGATTTTTATTCTTCTCTGTATTTCCTGTCCTTTTTTTTTAATATCTAAATAATTCTTAAAGTTTTTCTTTTTAACCGACTTCAAAATTGCATTTTTTATGCACTTTTGAAAAATGACTCATCAAATTTCCATTCACAAAAATATAATTTTTTTTTAGTTCAAATCCGTATTTTTACTGGCACTTCAAAATATTTATAAGGGCAGTTCGTGTTTCATATAATATTTTTTGCATTGTATTTCACTTTCAGTCTGGAAAAGCTATTCATACGTATGGGATGGCGCGAAGAGGCGCCCAATATGATGAGGCAGATCGTAAAACGCACCATAAAAATGCGTGAGGAGCAGAATATCTCACGCAAAGATATGCTTCAGCTACTAATGCAACTGCGCAACAAAGGCGAAATTAGCGCAGATGACAATGACTGGTCCGCAAATGCTGGAAATGGTAGGCATTTGGAACGATCGCATTATTTCCATTACCTCAAAAAAATTGTTATTGGAATTTATTTTAGCAGATGCATCAAAACCCATGTCCATTGAAACCATCGCATCGAATTTATTCCTCTTCTATGTAGCCGGTTTTGAGACGACTGCTTCCGGCATTTCTTTCACTGCCTTTGAATTGGCGCAACAGCCAGCTGCTTTGGAAAAAGTGCAGCGTGATGTTAAGCAAGCGTTAGAAAAACATGGCAATAAATTCACATACGAAGCGATACAAGATATGAAATACTTGGAGTTATGTTTGATGGGTTAGCTGAAGCTGTAGTTTTTAAGAAACACTTCGAGTTTTCACCAGTGCTTCATTTCGTTTGTCTTACAGAAACTACACGCAAGTATCCCGGCCTACCGATTCTCAATCGGCAATGCACTCGCGACTATCCTCTACCGGATAGCAACTTGGTGATCAAGGCGGGAACCCCAATTATTATTTCGCTATTTGGTTTGCATCGTGATGCCAACTATTTTCCTGATCCTATGCTTTGGCAGCCAGAACGATTTGTGAATCAAAATTATGATCCTGTTGCTTATATGCCATTCGGTGCGGGTCCCCGGCATTGCATTGGTAATATTATAAAAAAAAATTTAACCGCATATTTTCGAGTTTACTCATATTTTCTTATTTTTCATATTCAAAGCACAACGTTGGGGAAAAGTTATCGTAAAAATCGCTTTAGCGAAACTACTTTTAAATTTCAATATCGAAATGAATCCGGTACGAAAAGAACTCGAAATGGCTAACTTTGGCGTATCACTTTTAGCCAAAGGCGGTATAAATGTGCGTTTGTCGAAGAAGAAAGCAACCGTAGGCGCCTAAATTAGACGTAATTGGTTAAGGATTTTTTATTATTTTAAAATTTATTATTTTTTGTATTATTTAAATAAAATTTAAGTTTTGTGAAATGAGTGTAAGCATCGTTCTATATAAGGCATACAAAATGGAATGGCGGCTAATTGGAATGAGCTGCAATTGATGGAGAAGTTCGTGGAGTTATCGTTTCTCCCACCTAACGTGTTCGTCAAATGGGTTTGCAGCAACGTCTGACAGCGAAGTTAGAATATTTCATCGAGTTAAGGCGTTGAGATGCCATCGGCTAGGCCATCGACTAGTTTCAGTAGTTCATGTGTATGGGTGCCTTAAGGTACATTGAATAGGTAGCAGCAGGGATGCAATTTTGATTTTTTTTTTCCTTTTTCATTTCGCCCATAAATTGTCATTTTTGCTTACATTTCACCCTGCAATGTCAAGTTTTGCTTACCGTTTTCGATATTTTAGATTAAAAAATCATCAACAAAATACACAAAAATGCTACCTGTTTAAAGTAAAGTAAAGTAAAAACACAAAGTTTGGGAGCCCTGAAAAATTCTTTTTTAATGATACCATCACCTGTACATTAGGAATATGACCTTTTTTAATTGAATATACCTATGAGACGCTGAGATATTATTAAAAACCAATAAAAAAAAATTAACCATTTTTTCTAAAGTTATGCATAATTCTAAATTTCATAGTATTCGGGATTTTCAAGTTTATTTTTGATTATGTGCACATCCTAAAAAAACGATCCTAAAATTTTGAGTACGGTAAGTTGAGTAAGATATGGATTTTTGAACTTACGTTTTAATTTATTTTAAATGTAGAGGAATTTTTTTTAAGTGCAAAAACTGATATCTTTAAAAATACTTTCTTGAAAATTTCAAAAATTCATCCAAATCAAATTAAATAGATTGCAACCATTGGTCGACTTAACATGGATGACCTACATATACATATGTACATATGTATACATAGTGTATGGTATTTTTGCAAACACCCGGCGTGCTTCACTGCGTCTTAAAAGTATTTTTGTGTTGTTTCATTTATTTTATCAATTTAATTAAACACAATTTTTCAAACAGGTGGCAATCTTCACTAAAATTTTTTTCTGCAATAAACTTTCCCAAACCCCTTCAGTTTGATAACCCTATTGCAATATTGTGGCAACCTCCAAAAAAATATTTTCGGTTTCCTCTCTCTTTTGACAGTCATATTGCAATATTTACTCTATCTTTTCAAAGAGGTTGCAACTCTCAGATTTTTTTCTTTCTATATTTTAAGTTAGACCTCTAGAAATACATCGGTGAAAACTGCATTAAATTTCAAGCTCTAGTTTTCGATTTCGCTTCTATTGCTCTAATAAAGGCCCCCATATTAATTTTTCTTCAATATCGATAAGGTACAATTTTTTTACCAAATTTTGACAAAAACGTTATTTTTATTGATGTTTCATCGTTCATAATTCCCTCCTCATAAATATATATTGTTTTTTTATGAAAGTCGTATGCCTAATGTGCATATTGTAAATGAAGTCACAAAGTCAGTTCAAGTGGTGATCCCGTTATCATATAATTTTTCTGGCAGCAATATATTTGTACCTACCAATTAAAATTTATGAATTATCTTGAAACTCTTGTTAAGATATACATTAGGGTGGTCCAAAAAAAAATTTATTTTCATTATTTTTACGGGTTAAACAAATATTTATTTTTAAGGGCATTATAGTAAATCTACGAATAATGGTATTTTCGGCGCACCAGTTAAAAATTAACTGATTACAAAATAAATCAAAAACTGGGCCAACAGCTTGCGCCGTGTCACTGATTTCTGATGTCTTGTCAGCATTTTTTTGTTTTTTGTTCATCAAGTCATTCGAAAAAACTGTATTAGACATAACGAATTTTCGAGAAGTACGTCAGTATAAGGCTGAATGAGATATTCTTGACTTAGTCACAATGCGAAAGAATAGAAAGGACCACGGCCTTCGGGCTGGTATGTTATTTCACGTGCTCAAGAAAAATGTTTCGACACTGTACGTTCTAACGTTACTACCGTTAACATTGACACATCAGTCCCGGTACGAAAGCCTGATATTATCGAATTTTGTAACAACAGTAAAGGTCACGTCCATATTATAGAAAAGCTTGTTGGTAAATCATCTTTTCCGATTGAAGAATTACACGATTGTGACGTCGCAAAGATATGCCACGCGGCCTTTCTGCTAGCGCAGTTCGTGATGATCGAAATTTATAAGAAAAAGCGGAACCATGAACACAAACTTCAAACACGCTAGAAACAACAATAAGCACAGTTTTCGCTGGGATAAATGTGTGAATCATATTTGTCCTAATCACAAATAAGTATACAGTGACTCAAACAAATGATCACGTGTAAAATCAACAAAACTGTCGTAATTTTTTTCGAGCTCATTTTTTTTTTGTTATTTTTATAAAAAAATATCGTCTAAGCTTTAACCAAAACCGTGTAAATCACAGTTTCAAACTTTATACAAAATTTAGGACAACGAAATTTCATCAAAATTTCAACTTTTTATTCCGATTTTTGAGATTTTTTTTTGGGTGACGGGTTTTTTCGCTTTTTTTCATAAAAGTATGAATTTCTTACGAAATAAAACGCGAGAGACCATCAGCAACAAAATTTCAAAATATCAACGCAAGTTATTGTAAGTTGCGCTTGTTATATTAAAAACCCCGAAAGAGTAGCCGCAAAAAAA